CGGCGCACGCAGGTACTCGTTTTGCCCCAGTACTTGTAGTGCGACGACGCTATTCTTGATCTTGTTTGCAAAAATCACGATGTCCCTCGGCGAATCGGTGAGTCGGGGTAAATGGCGCAGCTTTTCTATCTCGGTTGCGGCGATGTTGTCCGGGCGGCCGAATCTGTGCTCCAATTGCTTCATAATGTCGCCCGGCGTAGTGTTGCTTATTAGCATGCTGCCCACGGCTTCTCTTGCCTTCCCCTTGAGGGCTCTTCTTAATCTTGATGAGTTTTCCGCCGACGATAGGTAGGTTGCGGATTCTAGGTACGCCGCCCTGAAGGTGAGCCATTCTGTGTGCGCCGCTGAAGGGTGGCAGCTCTCCGACGTAGCGTGGACCCGGTGCAGGCGGTACGGCGGCACGGACGGCGGCGTTGATTGCGACGGCCAGCTCGGAGACGTTCATTCTGTCTCGCTGGACCGGCGGTGGCGGTGGCGGCAACGTAGGGGCGACCTGTTCTTGAGCTTCATCAATACGGGACGGCGGACTCTTCTTAATGCATGGCTTCAGCGGCCCTGGGACTGGATCTTCGGCAAGTGGTGCGACGGACCCACCAATCTGTACGGTGTCCTCGACGGTCGGTCTTCTATACGGTTCGGTGGTGCCGCCGTCGGAGGTGGTGTCCTTTGTCGCTGTGTCCAGCCAGGTGATGACGCGTTCTTCATTCTCGGTGCCATGTGTGCTATCGGTTTCTCTTCTATCTTCTATTTGCGGGTCCTCTTGGTCCTCATCTTCGCTATCTTGCTCTTCCATTCGTATCTTCGCCCTTATAGTCTTCTCTAATTCTTCATATAACGCCGCCAGGCGCTTCTTCTTTGCTGCTCTTCGTGCAGCTATCTTCGATTCGGTTCGGTGTGATGTCATTGCAGCTGATGGCGACTTCGGCGGTTGGTCGTGGCGCAGCGGGTACGGTGGCCGCGTCACGGTGTCGCTCCCTTCCGATGGCGCTCTTGACGGGGGTTGGACAGGATTCTCTCCTGCGGCGGTTCGCTCTGGCTCTTCGATGCTTCTCTCGATGCGCTCCTCTTCGGCCTGGTCCATTTTGTCAGCTTGAGATCTTGTTCGTGGCATTTTTCTTTCTTCAATCTTCTATATTTTCTATCTTCAATCTTCTATATTTGACCACGACGATCTTCTTTCTTCAATCTTCTATAATTTTTCTTCAATTCTTCCTCGGCGCTGTAGATCCGGCTCGATGCGACCAAAAAATGTACGGGACGCCGGGCTGTCGCAGTAGCGGACAGTTACCGACTCGTACTGAGGGGTGGAGGAAGTTACACGCAGGAGTCTTGACTGTAGTGGACTGTAGTTTCGGCGAATAAAACCCCTGGTGTTCGGTATTGAAGAAATCGGTGGGCGCTGATAATGGATGGCCGGTGAGAGGAGGCTTCAGGTCCAGAGTGAACCGCTTGATTGTTTCTTCCTGTTCCTTATGGTAGGAGCGCCTGTCGCTGAATGCATGTCGGAGCATGTTCCGACTCGAATTTTATATACTAGGACTGAGCTGGCCAGCGATCCATTACCTCACCCACGCTATACTTTATTTTTCATTTTTTCAAAAATTACATTAGTGCGAGCTTAAAACTAATTGTACATACATCGGGCATACATATAGGCATATTTTTAATACAGTTATGTGTCCGTAAGCATGATATTTTAGGTGTGGCGCGCAAAAAATAGGTCTCCGCAATATTTATACTTTCCCCCTTCATAGGGCTTCGCCCTGCCACGGGGCTTCGCTGCCCCACCCGCGCGCTCCGGGCGCGCCGGGTGGGGAGCGCAACATGTCTCAAAAAACGGTTCTATACAAACAGATTTTGTCTCCTACACGGTACATTTTTACATTTATTGATGTGATACCTATTTATTTACGTACCCCTACGCGTTATCTACCTAATACAACAAGTTTCTTACAAGAATATCAACAAACAACAGCTCTGCGGCCCTATAAAGTTTACAAATTAAAAAGTCTTAAAAAACCTACTTATATTCACTTAATGCCTAACTATCATATACCATTTTATAGAAGAAGTAAAAACACACAAAATAACATCATTATTATAACAATTATACCTATATCCTATTGACTATTCGTAAAAAACTATTCCCAATATTTTCCTTAATTACGCTTAAACTACTAACACGATTCATACAAAACTCTGATATATTATTCCTATAACTACCTACTTTCTAATAAGACATAAAATAAATCAATCAAAACATAAAACATACTATTATCGAAAACTATCAACTCAGGCAAAATCCTATAAGATGTGAGACAAGGACAACCTATTGTCTCTGTCCCTCCTATAGGTCGGAACTATCAGTATTCTGACTAGTTTCCCCGCGCCACCGCTTGGCGTCGTGGCGATCGTTTAGACAAAGTCTTATAAGATTGTTGGAGAGAACGGGGCGGAATATCGCTCTGAACTATCAATTTTACAACGGTTTACTATGGGCAGAGCTATCTATTATTGCGATATCCGACTCATTCTAATAAGACAACAAGGGAATGATATTTTTAATGCGTATACAACCGATACATGTGAAATTATAGATACATTTTATACATCAATCTCATATTGTCGTAAGTTCATTTTCTCTCGCTTCGGTCGTCGCGTACACATAGAATCGTCCATTTTTCCAATTCAGAAGATGATTATGTACCTGTGTTATGTACCAATGACTACTTAAATGATTCTATAACAGGAATGAAAATAGGCATATATACGCAATCAATCGATTTTAATTTTTCATTTTAACAATTATTTCTCTATGACAAAATATATTATTTAAGTATTCGGTATTCGGCCGAATAATATGTAGATATTCGGTATTCGGGCGAATATAATAAAAGCAGCCGAATAGGCCGAATACCGAATAGTAACCGAATATTCGTTGCAAGTCTAATAATAAGTATTTATTTGCTACAAAAATACATATACAAATACAAAAACTTAAAATCTGACATACCAACTTTTTGGGAACAAAAAGGGAAAGTGACTCAGCTTTAGACCGCCGTTTTATCGGAAGTCGCTGATATTCTGCCACTACCTTATTTAACTAATACATGTTCCATTTTGTGATACCAACAAGTAAAACTTTAAAAATCGATTGAAAAATTAACACATCCATTATTAAATATCTAAATTGAATACAGTTTTGGCCGCAGTTTAATAAAATGGTAGGAAATTAAAAACTGTACATTGAATATTTTTTTTAAGAATACTTGGGGTGTGATCTACAATCGATACCGAAGCCAAAAATATAGTTTTTAGAATTTTTGCCTGTATGCCTGCACATATGTATGTCCGGGATAAACTCTAACCCCCTTATTAATAAACAAGAAATAAGCTTAGACTAGTTACGCCGTGTTTATTCATGTCACTCAAATGTCATTTGTCATTCAATAGACGGAGACAAAACATGGAGTAACTAATCCAAGTGTAGTCTTCGTTTATTAATAAGGGGGAAAAAGTACTGCATGGATTTACTTTTTGGCACGAATCTTATTAAGAAGTCGGGTCAACATATAGGCTACATATTATCACTCTATCACCTACGGGGAACGAGCAGTGAACTTTTATTTGTAACTAACTCCAGGCGTACGAAGTCGCGGGCGGCCACTAGTAAATTTTATAAATTAGCTGTACCCCTAGCACGGTATAACCAGTATTTAGCACAACAAAACAAGTTTGTTTCCGTTTTTAAAAACTGCAGTGCGACTAACATCTTGTATCACATTGACAGTAGGACGTTGCTGGTAAATAAGTGGTGAAATGAGGATTATTAAAGTCGTCAAATCTCTTCACTAAGACTGGGCGCACATTTATGATTTCCTGATACGGTTTCCTGATCAGGAATTAAGATTCGGAATTCCGGGAATCTAGTGCAGATGTTTAGATTCTTTTATTACTTGAGAGTCCGAACTTTAGATTTATTTACTTTATTTACAGAATAGAAAATATCAAAATACTTAAAAGGTAATTGTAGGATTGACCCCCTACATGTAATATATAAAATTCTCGTGTCGCGGTGTTTGTGGTTAAACTCCTCCGAAACGGCTCGACCGATTTTCGTGAAATTTTATATGCATATTCGGTAGGTCTGAGAATCGGATGTAATCTACTTTTCATCCCCCTAAATGTTAAGGGTATTCCACCCCTATTTTTTTTTTTTAATTTTAGTTTTTTTTTTTAATTTAGATTTTTTTTATGATACAGCATTAGTAAATACATATAACCCTGAATTTTCAACCCTTTATAATCAACCCCTATTTTTTTATGGCGGTACGAAGTTCGCTGGGACAGCTAATAACAATATAAGGATGAAGGAAGAAATCAACCGATCTTGTAGAATGCATGATGAGCATTGATTTATTATGTAAAATATATGTTTTTATATTGTTAATACAATGACGTATTTTGATGCATTTCTTAGATACAGCTTAGTGATTAAAGTAGGTTATTCTTGCTCTGCAGATATACATGATTACTGTACGTGTATACATGACTCGTACAGTAATACTTTTGTGTCGAAAGGCAGTTGAAAGAGGAAACGCGATATGAATGAGAGCTCTGTTCCCATAGATTATTTCAACATTACTATTACATTACGTTACATTTAGGTTCGGTTTCACTGAGATGTAAAAATCTATCTTAAAATAGCAAAATTATGTGTTGATTTAATTATTTTTGTATTTATGTAATGTGTAATATGTATTAATTTTATATAACATTTTCTTAACGTTATGTACGTAATGTTGGGTAAAAATGTAGTAAAACACACACACACACACATTCAGGACACGAAACATTTAATTAAACTAAGTAGTTTTTAAAATATCTTTGAGAGAAGACACTGATTTCTGTAACACAGGGTTATTATCCTAGCATAGAAATCAGGGTATTCAATCTTTTATGTACCTACTTTTGTTGCAATAAAATTATTATTATTATAGATCGAAGCTGGATTCGGCATTGAATTGTCGGTGCGGGGCCAGCGCGGTGACTCGGCACGGGTCCCTGGGCTCACTGCCTCGCTGCTGCGCGCCCAAACCTGACAAGCCGCGCGCCTTCAGCGTCTTCAGGTTAATATAATAAAAATTATAATATTTTTAACCATTTAACAAAATTAAAAAAGGCAGCTTTAGCATAATAGCGTATTTAACAAGTTTTAGAAAACTATCTCACGTTATTGACTAATGTTTATGGAGTCCGTAAAACGTGGATTAAATATCCATTCGGTTGTGTATTTCAGTAAAAATAACCAAATCAAAAACTCCGTTTTCAAGTTGCCGCGGAAACGTTGCTGTGGACAATATGGCGTGTTACTAGTGTGTGGCGTCACACGACTGTTATTAAAACGTCAAACGATACAATATAATGTCACTTTAACCGGAAGTTTACTCGCGTATGACGTCATTTTAGGATCTGCCAATCCCAAGCATTTTGGGTCACGTGACAATAGACAAGAAAACTATTATCTTTTTTGTTAGTTTTTAGTAAAATTATGAATATTTTTTTTGTAAAAATAGTAAAAACCCCTACCAATATTCATTCTAAACACCGATGCTAACAATTGGCACTTTATTTTTAACACTGTCAAATACCCTATTACCGGGGATCCGTCCAGATAGCGGAGGGTGTTTTTATAGTGACATTTTAATAATAATATTTTTTTCACACACACACACACCAATTAGCCTAGCCCCAAAATAAGCCTTGTGTTATGGGATATTAGGGTAACGGATAGAATACAAATACTGATACATATACAACTATATTTTTAGTTAAGAAAGCGTAACAGTTGCTTTCAAGTACAGACATCCACAGCCAAAGTTACTTAAAACTGGCTAACGACTGCAGATGCAGCTGGATCAACGGCTTAACATGCCTTCTGAGGCACGGAGAAGCTCATTTTTAATAACCCATCCTATGATCGACCATTGCGGTCTCAAAATTATTTTTAGTATATTTTATATATTAATTATCTTTGAATGCTGCACTTAAAGAAACGTTACGTTACAGCTCACTATGTCACACGACATTTTTTTTCCACTCTACACCAGGATTTACATTGCACATCAACTCTTGAAAAACATTTAAATTTAAAGAAAATATTACTAGAAATAATTCCACGTGGACCAGGCAGCAGACGGGACTCGACCCCACACCCTTCGCTATCCGGGCGAATGCACTGACCATTATGCTACCGCGGCCCTGATGGCCGTGTCGAATACTCTCTAGTCTTTCTTAAACTGCAAGCTAGCGCCATCTCTGCGCATTGTAAGTTACCCACATTTTTTTTCTGGTAATATTTTCTTTAGATTTAAACATCGAGCAGTTACATGCTTAAAGAATAAAAATTATAACACTTAAATTATTATATCTCTTAACACAGAAAAAGACTGAAGAGCGACTCCCGCATCGCCAGCTCGCCCAAATCCGACTCTTCCAAAGACAACAAAGACGTCGAGACCAAAAAGAAAAAGTTCGACTTCACTCCCACTCGGGACATATTCAAGAGTTTCAAAGTGTCCAAAAAGATGCGAGGCCTCAAAATAGGGAAAGGCGAGGCGAAAAGCTGCGAGTTTTTGGACGAAACGACGGCCCACGTCACCACCACTCGCTGTAGCAAATCCGTCGAATGTTTGGACGACGAGTTTGAAGACTACGATGCGGATTTGTCGATTGAATTCAATGATGACGCCGTAACGACGCTAGCTTTGCCCCAAGAGATCATGGATTTGATACTTCGCGGTCGGGATCAATTCAAGATTCGCCTCAAAGACACTCCGGAGAATGATTACCTACCAATGTCTCCTATAGTCCCCATTCCACCTATAGAACACCAGTACATGGTGATGTCCCCTAGAACTAATATCGCCTAGTCAACGTTACCAGCCGCTTAAGGTATGTGATATTATTTTAGTTCTGTTCATATCGATAGATATTGAGACAGGTTGACAGCACAATCATGTTTGAAAAAAATGTTTACAATTTTGATTTCTCATATTTACAAAACAAGAGAATTTCAAGTTATAATTTTTATTATTTTAAAGCATGTAACTGCTTGATGTTTAAATCTAAAGAAAATATAACTAGAAAAAAATCCACGCGGACTAGGCAGCAGACGGGACTCGAACCCGCACCCTTCGCAATCCGGGCGAATGCACTGACCTAGACTTTTTTCTAGTTATATTTTCTTTAGATTTAAACATCAAGCAGCTTTAAAATAATAAAAATTATAATTATAATTGCTAATTCTTCTTTCAAATGTTTAGTACTTATAAAAGTATTCGTTTGACATTGTGGGTTACCTATAATGCGAAGAGATGGCGCTGCCTTGCACCTTAAGAATGGCTAGAAGAATTTCGACGCGGTTCGTGAGGGCCGCGGTAGCATAAGAGAATTTCAAGTTAAAAAAAATTAACTTTGGAAATTTTTGCTTTTGTTGTGTAAAGTAGTGTATGCAATGTATTATGGTTTATGTGAAAACGCGTCGTCGAACTATCAAAATTGTAGACATATTTTTAGACTTGATTGTGTCTGCTAATTACTTATATATTATTAATACCTCGCACCTTTATTTCCGAACCGTTTGTTTTTTGTAAAGGAAAATAATAATTTACACGGGCTGTTACATCCATCATTTGTGAGACACGATCCAATCAGGAATTTAGATTTGAGACAACTTACTATCGCATTGATTTATTAAATCAACAAGTACAGAAAGCGGAATTTCGAGTGACAAAAACATATCGTTTTCCAGTATTGAAATTTAGTTTTCCATATAGAATCAGTTTGTTTATAGAAAAATGACAATATTTTTGGTCATTAATTATTTTCCTCGTTGCTGCGCCGTTTCTTTAATAAAACACTTACAAGGGATATCACTTGTATCCACGGAACCTGCTTTTTTACGTTTAAATCCTTTTCCATCCATCTTACGCAAACTTGTTTTTTTTAAGTATAGAGTAGAATAGACAAGACGAAGTTCTTGATACTTGGAATATTGAGTTTAAAAGTACAGTCCCTAAAAAGAGTCCGTAAAATTAATTTATTGTAAAATAACAATTACCTACTTTGTAACCACTTTGATGGTGTTTTATTAAATGCATTGTATGATCATTAGAAACGAGAATTCTAACAATAGTCATAGATTCACCATGATATTGCAATTTCTATGAACAATTGTGAGGCTATTTATTGCTTAAGTTATTAAACCCGTGACAACTTGGCACTTCGAATTGGCACGCACTTGACAATTTAGACATTTTAGGAGATAAATAAAAATACTGTCAAGGCACTGTTACAGACTGTAACAACAAATTTCTTCAGGATGCTACATATCAGAATGCAATCGATTTTGTACTTTGTACGTAACCATTAAGGTTAGGAAATCTATTACTGAATTTTGTCATTTTTGTTGAGTCTGAAGAGCTGATGCATTCATATTGTTAAGTGGAATACAGCTTGTACACAGTGTCTTTTTGGTGTAAGAATAAAATAAAATATTAGACTTGTTAAGTCTAAACCGGACAATGACTGAATATTGCTGACGCAATATTTTTTTTAATACGTAAGCTCGTTATGATGGACTTATTTTTAGAAAATTTCCAGAATGAATACTCATCCAAAAATATTATTTTTCGACTGAATTTATGCAGCAGTTCATTAAGTTTGCTCAATAAAATGTTTATACAAGAATACGAGAGTTGATTTTTGTAATATCATTAAGACGATTTATTATATATTTTTGTGTGCTGTGTAAAATGTGATGTTTCCCTTAGGCTTGCTATAAAATTAAAACTTAATTAAATATAAATGCTGGTACTTCAATATCTTTTAATGGGAGCAGGTAATTTTATAAAGATTGGGACTATTTTGTGGGATATGGAAGCACTAGTATTCCGAAACACTTTTGCATTACATACATAAATATTTAATCTAAGAAGACAATTTCTTTGTGATAAAATATCCACCCTAATGTGGTTGCACTAAATGTATAATGATTGGAAAAGTATCAAATATAGTATAATCTTGCTCTTTTTGCACAAATGATATTAGAAAATTACTCATAAGTTCAAGCTTCGAGGCACTAAATAAAATGGTTTACTTACCTATTTATAAACTGATCATACTTTGAAGACAAGTTCAGATTGAAAGAATATTATTGTTGGTTAGGAAAGTGTGATGACATCTCATCTCTAAGTCATCACTTATGATGGCTTTTAGAAAAGTGTAGATATCGAAAGTGTTAATTCATAGTTTTAAATTTTAAAGGTTTTTTTTATTATATTACACTACCACTAACCATAGTTAAATGCTCATTATCTGTATATGTCAATTATTAATTTTATAACCTCTTATGTAGGGCAAAAATTCGTTTTTCTTTCTAAATTATTTTAAATTTCATTAAAAGGTAAAAATAAAACTAGACGATATTTCTGACACTTATTAATAAACGAAGATTAAGCTTTTAATAATTATAGTGTTTTGTTCACATAACTCAAATGACATTAGGGAAAATGACAGAAAGAGACTGAACACTTAATATTAAGGTACTTAGAAGCTGACACGTTGCTATGAATATGGGCCTTAATAATTAATTTCCTCATAAGAAAGTACACGATGATGACGATGGGATTGTTAATTTAACAATTACACACAGTAATTAGGTTCATATTCACAATTGAGGAGCTGGCGAACAAAACGGTATAATTACGCATCTGGTCGAACTACTTTTTTTTACAGTCTTTTTTTTTTTAGAGGTTTCGGGCCCGTTGAATTTGAATCTCAAATAATTTTCAATCAAAACCGCCTAAAACAGTGTTGAAATTACTAAATTTATAAATTATAACCATGCCAAAAGCTCACTGTAGGTATGTCATTCAGTTTTGTACAGCTCCTGTAAAATTAAATTTTATGTAATTATACCGTTTTGGTCGCCAGCTCCTCAATTATTATTAGGTACTCTTTTTAGACGCCACTTACATACCAAAAGGGGTTCAATGTTATTGAGCTAAGTGTGAAGACAAAAATCTTTTCGATTGACGTTTTAAAATACCGACCTACTTCAAGTTAAAATAAAGAAATCAACTAGGTTTTAGTTGCGCTTTCGCATAGTAAATATCGAACTAAACGTTTTATTACCTTCGTTCGTAGATAAGACATAAATTTTGGGGACGTCGAAACGAAAATGACTCTTATATTTAAATGAATAAAGTTCTTAATGGCGAAAACAATGTGGGTATGTGAGTTCAAAAAGATTAAGCCCATTGATGACTATTCATTGCTGATCCTTTAAGTTCCCTTACAGGTTGATTTCAGGTTTAATGTTGACTTTTCACCCTTTACTCTAGTTTGATACGAACTTTTTCTAGAATTTCTCTCATTGTGACCGTTCTGATGGAAAAAGATCAAACAATTGTCAAATTTCAATAAAATCTAATCGCCATTATAGCCACGCACAGTTTTGTAAAATGGAAACTGTTCGTATTCCTTATAATCTCAGATTTATTTTATTCTACAAATATTGTTTCAATATACAAACTGAGACTGACTTTACTGAGAGAAAGCAAGATAAGATAGTCAAGTTTACTGAGTACGAAATGAATATGCAAAAGTGGACTCCATAACTTTAATAAAAGATGTCTGCATTATTCTTTCGGACTTTTTCTTTTCTAGCTTAGATCTGTTCTTTGTTATTACTACCAAAAAAGTGAGAGTGCATAGAAAAAAATCGACCTATTTGTGAATAAGGCAAAGTAAAAACATTAATATGTTTATTTTCCAAAAGTATTTTGTCAACCGTCCAATATAATAAGTATGGTCGCAGCGCGATGGGACAGGAAAGCTTAGCATAACAAACATGCAGTATTTAATAATATAATTTTGTGGTTTTAACCTTATGCAATAATTACGGCGGCATTTAACACTATTATTTTATCTATAGTTAATCGTGGACTACTAAACTGCCGCCGACGAGAACTTTTCTTGTCTTCACTAGTTTGACGTTTCATTTTTCTTGGTCTACCCGCTCAATAGTCGTCGGCGGAGGGATAGGATTAAGGCCTTAAGGTAAACCCTAATCAACAACATCAAGCTATGCTGCATTGTCTTGCGATCTATTTAGTCAACCCGCTCGTCTTAGATTATATTGAGGAATCAAATAATTCGTGCTTCGCTGCGCTTTGAGTGATGGTTTTGTTTCCAATAGTGTTTCTGTTCCAACACAACGCAACATCGCTCAATAAAATTGTGTGTCGCTTGGTCACTCTTATACTGTTGTGCCGCAAATATCACATTAAACCGATTAGTTTAAATCTAAAGAAAAGTTTACTTACTAGAAAAAACTCCATGCTGACCAGGCAGCGGACGGGACTCGAACCCGCACCCTTCGCAATCCGGGCGAATGCACTAACCAATTATGCTACCGCGGCCCTGATGGCCGCGTCGAAATTCTTCTTGCCATTCTTAAGCTGCAAGGCAGCGCCATCTCTTCGCATTGTAGGTAACCCACCCAGGTAGGTTTTTTCTAGTAAACTTTTCTTTAGATTTAAACATCTAGCAGTTAAATGCTTAAAAATAAATAAAAACAAACCGATTAGTATTTAAGTGAAATTCGTAAATCGGGCGGTTTAGTATAATTAAATATTTAGATAATTAAAAGGAAAACAAGTGTAAGCTTCAATTGTATTTATTTTCCTATTGCGTCCTGTAGCCCAATTTTTATTTTAAGGGTGAGAACTCACGGAGCGGATTCCCGCGCCCGCCACAGAGCTGTTCTAATTCAAATCGTATTTTTGTGCGGTCTCGCGGTCTCTCGTTTGTAAACTAAGGGGCCGTCCATTAATCTCGTGATGTTTTTATGGCATTTTTAACCCCTCCCTCCCCCTTGGTAATACATGGTGAGGTTTAAGACAACCCCATCCCTCTACCCCTATATCACGTGTATTTATTACTACCTACAATAAATCTTATTTTTTTAATATTTATGAAATACAGGTGTATAAGTGTCATCTAATTTTATTCTAAAAAAATTAAGATTAACTAATTAAAGACGACAGAAAGGTTGCAGGTGGTTTTTGACTGACATAAAAATAATAAAAGAAATGCGAAAAACTTTTTTGTATATATACATGAACATTATTTAATGTACAGGTTCCCCGGACCACGGAAATACATGTGATATATTACTACAGTCCCCCTCCCCCCTTGTGATATTTCGCGATTTTTTTATGGACCCCTCCCCCCCTTTCGAGCCTCACGTGTTTAATGAACAGCCCCTTAACACGTTCATTGCCAATCACGCGACGTCGCGTGAAGTGTCCGAAGATTTTTGTTTAAACAGTATTGCGTGAGCCACCAGCAGAAAGCTCCAATTTTAGTTTTGACAATTAGCGTTAACAAGAAAAGATCGGACGCACCCCGCTGCGTCGTTTGTGATTGCGACCCGCTCGTGCCACAAACAATCGCGCAACGCGTGCCTCATTAATTTTGAAATTGTGTTCAACGTACAATTTCACATTTCACGCGATTTGCCTTCCCGCAGCCACGGCGGGCGCTGGTAAAAATCGCGCCGTGAGTTGTTAACCTTTAGGCATTTCTGGAATTCTTCATAAGGAATTCTATTGACTAATATTGTGCTTACTTTATTACAGTCGCACACAAAGACGTCATTTAATTTTAATGGTTCGTTAAGTCGTGTGGTATCGCAAACAAAGTAACAATAAATGCATCTTTAAAGTAAATAGCCGTCTTTGAGTGAGGTTGTTAGTGAATTGTATTATTATGGGAAATGACCAATGAGGCATTCGTTATTATTAGATAAGATTGGTGATTGTAAATGTCATAAGGACTTTTTAAAATGAAATAATGCTTTAATAACTCTAATTTTATAAAATAATGCTGTCTAGGTGTCCAGTATATTGTATGTAAGATAAGAATGTATGTAAATGTTGGAATTAGGAAAGTTCACTGCCAAATATGAAAGCCTTAGAGATTGGACACTCGATTTGTGTTCAGTTTCTGATGGCTGTAGGTTATAATTATTAAATGGAAGAGTAAATATCATCATAAACTAAAGACTGAGAAGAGAAGACTTTTTGGTAAAAAGACTGTTTATGTAGACGTGGTAATAGCATAGAGGTATAAGAATAGAATGGGGAAGGCGGCTCTAAAAGTGTCCGTCTCGTAGAAAGAGGAAGAAGATGAGAGACGGCTAGCTATCTCTCTCTCTTGTAACGCATGGCATCAAATGGCATCACATCGAAATATGTAGATACTTGCCAATGCGCATGCGCGATTAGAGAGAGAAAGCTAGCAGTCTCTCATCTTCTCTCTCTTTCTATTAGAGGGACACTTCCACTTGTATTAGAGTCTATATCTCGCCTACTCTATTCTTATACATGTATGGGTAATTGTCTTCGGTACATCCATAACGACTGTTCCCGATTACCTATCCATGTCGAGAGGTAAACTTACCAGAGTTAATTTGTAATTAATATTAAATTATTTAAAACTCGATATGTACCTATATTGTTTACTGAGGATAGGATATCGGAAATAGTGGTATGTCGATAATGGAATCGAATCTTAACTAAAGAATAGTAAGTCTAAACCCTGAGGAAAGAAAGTATATGAAAGACTTAAAATTAATTAAGTAAATAACGAATTAAATAGGCTATGATAGGAAATAACTAGTTGGAGAAAGTTGAAGATTGAATGTGGTCGGGATAACTGCTCTCCCAAGCATAACCACAACAGTGATAGTGAAAATATACAACAGTTCCATACAATTATGGTATCGTATTACCATCAGTCAATCAAAAATTGCTTGCAATATGAACAGTTTTCGCACATAATGTGGTCCGCTTGTGAAACAGTGATTTACGATAAGTAAATTCCTTAATTTATTTAAACTTTATTGCCACAATTACAAAAATGGACTAAAGGCGGACTTAATGCTAAAACCATTCTCTGCCAGTCAACCTTTAGGCATAAAGAAATCCACGAATGCGGCTATAATAAAAAAAGTGATTTACTATAAACATACACCAATAAAAGGAACTACATTTTTTTTAAATAAATATTTATATACATATATATTTTATATAATTATTTATCTATGAAGATGACTAGTTATGTGTGCGAGACTTTTACAGTGTTTGCCTGAGCATTGTTTAGCATATATATAGGTAGTGGAACCTTCTTGAGCAAAACCACAGAGAAACTTGCGCAGAAGACGTTTTTGTATGTAATATTGCTACTGCGCAGGCTTCCTTGTCTACAATAGACAAGAATGTTGCTCAAGATGTTTGCGGGAATGTAAAATGTATGTAAGATAAGATACTGTGAGTAATCGGCAGCTAATATTTCGTATACGGCTTAATTTGCGCTAAATTATTGTGATATATAAGTAGTAACTTGTTAATACATTTAAAAGCTTCATAGCTTTCGTTGATTTTGATGATTTCTATTGAGCGTTTCGAACTAAATATTTGTAGAAACTATAGCGAGAATTGAGTATTCAAAGTAACAAGTTTAAAGTCATATTGCCAGTAATGAATTAGCTTATCGTTTAAGAGAAATGTGATTTCCATAAGCATGTTATGGTAAGAATAATCAGTAGTTTCCTTCTGTAAGAACATTCATCTCTCATTTCATCTTGAAATCTGCGTTGTGATTTGAAATATAAAAACGAATTTCATATATCTATATTTCAAATCGCGCCGGTTTAATCCGCGGTGAAAGTGAGCTTGTTCTTATAGAATTGCACTGCAGTACCCCATAATTATTTTGGTTTGGTTTTCATAAAATAAAATACGATGGTATTCAATTGATTTTCGTTTGTACCTATTAGAAATTGATTAGAGCAGTGAATGTTGAAATGTCTGCGAGCTTTCGATCTAGTGTTTAAAGAATGTATACCTATTTAAATCATCTTTTTGCACATGTGCTTAAAAAATGTTATGACGCAATGCAAAGCTAATCTAATTGAAATACAACTTCACGTTGTACGAAGTGTATGTTCTGACTAGCTTACATGTTCTAATAGCTATTGCAAGCTGATTAAAAATAATTCAGCACTTAATCTTCTATAGATGTATACAAATAAAGTTGTTATTTTAATGCTAGCACTTCAATATGGCTATTTGTATTAGCTATCTGAAAATTTTACAGCATGTTGTCCTTATCATACTCTAACGGGAGCGAAAAGGAAATATTGTTATCAAGTTTATATCTATCGGCACTTTAAAATGGCTATTCTTAAATTTGACAACAGTGTATATGTATCCCCCTTAATAATAAACGAAGACTACGCGTGGATTAGTTACACCATGTTTTGTCTATTGAATGACAAATGACATTTGAGTGACATGAACAAAACACGGCGTAACTAGTCTAAGCTTATTCCTTGTTTATTAATAAGGGGGTATATGTTTAAGAGCCGATGCGAGCTTAAAGACATTTGAGAAATAGGTATTTGAAGCAACTATTGCTGTCGCGCAATGACTAATACCGTGCGATAGGGACAACAGTAGCTAACGCTGAAAATTGCGTATAAATATTGCTAAATTATAAGTTTGGCTCTCGACGATTTTCTCCTCGGAAGTAAGATACTATGTAAAAGTATTTTTACCTATAGGATAATAAGTTGTTATGCTAGGCCTCTATGTTTTGCTTTTTTGTAAATGTTTATTGAATCTCCACACTAGACGTCTTCAGTGGTGATAAAAATTTGTTCTTTTTTTGGCATTTTTGAAACACAAGTTATCGATAAAAGGAAGACAGGAGCATAGAATGTGTAAAATTTTATTTTATGTATGAAAATCATTTATTTAGTGATAAAAATCAAAGAGGAATCAGTCGAGAACGTTTGTATGGAAAAAACACTGCCCGCCTCCTGTGGAATGAAATGGACGGGCCACTGTTTAATTTTTAATACATATATGAAATACGAATAGGCATGTTGAAATGCTAGCATAGTACGCAGTGATTGTTGCGTGAATAGTTTTCACTTATCTAGCTTAGTAATAAGATTTTGGTTTACTGTGTTTATTTCTGTGACCAATTTATTTAACCGTAGCGTAGTTACTTAATATTCCTATAGTTTAATGCTGTGTTTTGATTAACATCTAAATGATCTCTGATTTATTATTATTTTTTCTTTACCTATTTATTTTATAAAGGATTGTTTCTGCAGTGTTGTCTATTCATTATGTTACTTGGTCACCTTTATATAACTTTTTGACATATAATGGCTCATCCGCAATAGGATACTTACTTCTATATACTTTGATGTCTTGACAGATTGTTCTTATCAGCTGAAATAGTAATTAATAAGCATATACATCGACATAGAGATGTTCTATTTTAATTGATGTCTTCAAATATCCTCTTGATCGTTTCACTACGAATGTGTTCCTATTTTGTTGCAGGTGAGCCATGGCGAGTTTTAAGTTGTATTTATCTCGCAAATGAAGAAACTAAACCAAAATGGCGCCGCCGGATATTTTGTCCTTTTCGCACTTGCCTGTCAGGAATAATGTGCAAGAGGGACAGAAAGTCTTGCGTCGTCAGTTTAGATTAGTTTCTGAATTGGCCCGAGTTATATAAACAATAATTGTGTATAGTCCGAGTTGACATTCTGTGGAATACATTTTATTCGATGATCGAGATGTCTTAAAATATATCGTTAATTTATTATAAAAAAAAACTGATTCGATATTTTAAGACTACTGAATGTGAGAGGTTATTATGTAGCTTGAGCTTCACACTACTGTCTCTTTAATCCTAACTACATGGGTACAGTGAAGTGAAAAAAAAATCTATACCCTTCTGACAATTCTCAATGCATTGAGAAAACCGTATGCATAATTATTTTTCTTGCGATTGTCTATGTAGTTTGTTCAATTAATTTAACATTAAAATTTAAATCAGTTTTGTTGTTTTGAGTACACGAGACTTAATACCGACATGGTATTCACATTGTGTATTTGTTAACACAGAAACAGATACATGGAAAGGTACAGCAGGAGTGTGACGGCTCAAATAATGTTTGAAAGATCTGATTTTTTTGTTCATCACTTTTTTTGGGTTAGATTATTTATGGCTGTAAAGTATCAATAAAGTTTGTAAGTATAAATACCATGTTTCATTCTAGAACCAGCTTTAGTACGTAATAAAAACACAGTTTAAATTACAATAACATTTATTAAACCAAAATCATAACATCGCACAAAAACAAAAATATCACAATAATAAACGTTTAGTGTCAATAATATCCAAATAATTTGATTACTCGTAATATGCTCGCACTTGACTTGGCTATACGTATTTGCTATTTTGTAAATTTGACAACAGTTTGTCCCTGTCAGACAGACAGACTGATGTCAAGTTTAAAAATAGTAATCCCGTATAGCTAAGTGAAGTGTCTGCATTATAAATATATTTTAAGAAAGTCATCATTTTATATTTATAAAAGTTCAAAATTTAATTTGTGCACTTTTATATCCTCAGCCCCCCTAGCATGAGTAACAAAACGCGATATGATAAAGCGATTTATCGACATTAACTGTCAAACTACAATGGAGTTTGACAGTTGACTGTCGATAAATCGCTTTATCATATCGCGTTTTGTTACTCATGCTAGAGGGGCAGGTGCTACTCATTTAAATAATTTACTTGGCATTAAAACTTAAGCAATAGTTTACCAATAAACTGCATAAAAGCTTATGCCGATAAGTTATTTAATTATTATGTAATTGAAAAGTAAATAATTCAAAATGAAACGATAACCGGGCACATCACTCAGTATATACTAAACTTTAAAATTAGCCCACACCATGTTTTAAAAAAAATGCTTTTTGTTCCACTTTTCGAATGATGGCACAAAAAATTCATTAAATAAAATCTTTTTCTTAGCTTTATGTAGGTTCTCGTAAGCAGAGGTATTTTGTTATTTAAATGGAACTTTTCTACGTCGACATACGAGGCACTTTAGAGTTAATTAATTACAACTGTCACTGACACTAATCGGGGAATAATATATATAAAAAACACGCCAATTAGTTCTAATAAATCTTATCCTCCGTTCGTTACAACCCATAGGCGGGTGACACGTGGGAAAGATACTATTCCCATACATGAAAAATTATTTATTTCCAATTTCGCCCGCTTAGTGAATCATAAATTTATTTCAAATAACAAATTGAAAGCTATCGTGAAAGGAGTTGATATTGTTTAAAAGGAGGCGGTTACACTGTTCCTCATATAATTACTCGTATACTGTATAATGCGATTCAACTATGAATAGGACCAACTGCGCGCCATATTGTGATGTCATAGCTGTCAATTCAAACCAAATAGGTAGAGTGAGCAAAAAAAGTTTTTAATTAATAAAACTTATTTACTAAGATTAAGTGAGAAAAAACCCACCGATTTTTAATAATATTTATTTATTAAGACTGTGAGAAAAAACATTAATCAGAATCTAGCTCTTCTATTCCGCTCATCTCTGTATTACCGCCGGAGTAGTTATGAATAATCATGCACTATTACTAGGTCACATACGAACATGCATCCTTTATGTAAACAAAAGTTTGTAATCCAGTTTCTGAATGCAACTTGAAGTGACATTTGGTTGACGATTTAGGTTATCAACCATTCATGGCCAAAGCTCAATAAGTGAAGAAAAAATATCAACCGAATATATTACTTATCAATATTTGTTATTTTTGTTTACAAATGTTTGGTTTTTATTCTTGAATTAGCGGAGAGCTAAAAAAGGGTTCCAAGATTTTTTTGCAAACCGTACTTTTCAAGCGACATTTGATGGAGATTATTTTTTAATCACATAATTTTGTTTATAAATACACATTATTATTATGTATGTCATGCTACTGGTTCGTTTAATTAAATACACCACCTATCGGAGGTTGATTTGGTTCCCGGTTTATATACATTCTCCCATTTTGTGATAGTTTTCATAAAAAAAATAATTACTTTGAACGAAGGGTCTGATGGTTAATGTACATTGCTCATATTTTGCTTTGGTGCACGAAAATAATCGGAATGTGTAGTCATACATAAATTTAGTATAGGTACTATAGTTACTATAATTTGCGTAATACTTGCCTAATAATACAAATCATATAATGCTAGAATAATTTATAGCTACGTCTACGTATTACCTTTTAATATACACATAAGACCAAACACTTACTCAAAATTTATAAATACTATGATGCTAATACAATGTGCGATAATTTAAAGATTCGTATTTTGCGACTTGTTTGAGTAGCCGTCTTTTTAGATTTTTCATTAATCAAAATTTTAATCCTTGTAGCGACTAGATAAAAAGCTCTATACACTATTTGTTTTCTGCGTTTTTTTTTTAATTATTGTTTACTATGTAAAATATTACCAATTAATTCGAAATTAATGACTACGAACAATACATGCAAGCATTAAAAATTCACAAGCATGACCTTGTCTTTTTTATGATTTTTCATGTTTTAATTGATGAGAAAAACGTATAAATATTTTATTTATCAAATTCAATTATTTATTTTTTTCTAAAACCTAGTTGCCTTATTTACTCAATTTGCTACCTTATGGCCTATAAATAAAAAATCTTTACTTCTAGAGAGTAGAAAAATGATAAAGTCGCCAATTCTTCAATAATGACGGATACAGACTACTTTTTTTCTAGTTATTTATATAAACAGCCACGGCTCGGTTACAAATGCTCGTATTCATCATAAAAACATACCTACACCTACCGGGATTCAAACCTCGAACCTAAGAGGTGGAACTCGAAGCCCCCGCCCCGAAGCTGTGGAATACCAGCATACAATCCGGTTAATCTCCCTCAACTACAGAGATCGTCAAAAATCATATTTGAAGCAAAATTCATAATTACAAATATCCTACTTATAATTAGATCATATTATTATGATATAACGTGTAATGATCACCTTATAGACAAAGTTTAATTAATATAAACATATCAGTCTGATGCGCTGCGCATTATACAAGTTCCTATACTAATACTTATCTAACGCCTAAGTTGTAAACTGTATGAAAGTAGATTCCAAACCAATTCTGTAAAATTAAACGATAAATAAATATTATTATGTGCTACCGAATACCATTAACCTTTTATAATAAAATAATAATCCTTCCACAAATTTGATAAAAAAAAGTCTCACTATCACGACAGGTTTTCTACTGTCAAAAATCTGCAGTCAATTTTGAACTTTGTACTGTACTTCTATGACTGACAATTAACCGTAGCATGTAGGTAGTATTGTTTAAACTGGAGAGCAGCTATGTGTACAAAGTCCTTTTTATTGACTCGTTTGAATTTATGTATAGCTTTCCTACTTTTGTAAAGTATAAATAAAGCCAAATGTCTATTCATTTTATTATAATTACGTACTTTTGTTTATAGTTTTTCAACTGAAAAAAATGTATGTCACTTTTATGCACAAATAATTTGGGCAACTTGATGATACGTATTTTCATTAAAGCTATAAGCATTCACAAGTTAGAAATTGTCTTATGAAAATCTATATCTAGATAACAAAGCTACTTCATCTACTTATGTGCATATCTTACATAATTGTCGTTTTCATAAAGTCTCCTTAATATATTTTTAAACATTACGAGTCATTCTTAAATATAAAAAAAAATGCATTGATCGGTATGTATTGGACGTAAGTGACTAAGATCATTTGCTCTTATCGTATCAGATTATCTCCCAATCGCTTTCTATATGATCGTCCGGCGATATAATGTTTCTGGGGTCCTTCACACCATTCGATTTCATATCTAGCTTCAGTTCTATATCTCCTAAATTCCAATTGTTGGGTAGTTTCACGATTTTAGGTACTAAGTCTATCGGCTTAGAGTCCTGTTTGGCGGTTACTGTTGATGTTGTCTTTTTTTCAGGTAGAGTTACTTCTGGTTCTATAAAGGGAGTGACCTCAATTTGCTTGTAGACGGGTGTGACGTCATTGCGTTTGGGTGCTTCGATGTTAGGGGCGGTGATGCTCAAGGATTCTAGATTCAGCATCTTCGCGAGAATCTTCTCTTTCTCCTCAATCTGTTTTTCAAGAAGTTCGTCGCTTTGAGGATCATTACTGGAAATAGTACAAAACATATAAGCTTGGATATAGTCGATGAAGTTGTGTTTTTTAAACCGCTTTTAAACGCCTTAACGTATCGTTGCACGCGCTTTATTTATTTCCATATTTTGTTATCCATTTTAACAATTCTTGCGAAAACAAACTACAATAGTAAATCAATAATTGAGGAGCTGGCGAACAAAACGGTATAATTACATTAAATTAAATTTTACTGAATGACACAGTAAGCTTTAGGTATGGTTTTTAATTTATAAATTTAGTAATTTTAACACTGTTTTGCCTAAAACAGTGTGAGTGCGACACTAACGTGTGAACAAATAATTTTCAATCGCCTGCTTTTGATTGAAAATTATTTGAGATTCAAATATAAAGGGCCCGAAACCTCTGTCTGGACTGTAAAAAAAAGTAGTTTGACCAGATGTGTAATTATACCGTTTTCTTCGCCAGCTCCTCAATTTTAAGTGCTTTAGACGATTTATAAAACACTTTGAACAAGGTATCCTGTTCCCATTTAACATGAGGTGAAACGCAGTCCTTTATAAGACATTATTTTGAAAAAAAAAGAACGAAGTTTACCCACCTGTAGACACTGACGTTCATCAAACACGGACTGGTGTAGCTGGCATTGTCCGGTTTCCTCACGGGCGTGGCGACGCGCGGCGTGCTTCGACCCGAACTACCATCTCTCCTTCTACTACGTCTACTATGAATCACTTCTTCATCACACTTCTTCTCCATTATACTGTTATACAGCCTCAACTTCCTCTGCAACTCCTCAGACTTAGCCTTCCTCAGCTCCTCCGCGTCGCTCGATACGTCTTTAAACTCGTTGATGATGGACTCCAAAACGTTTTCGGATAAGTCTGTCGGCAGGTGCTTAATGGGGGGTAGTTCGAAGCATTCCTCTGCGCTCGCTACGGTGTTGTCTAATAGTTCGTTATTAGTGAGGAGTGCTAGCGGATGTTCTAGGACGCTGCCCAAGTAGGGGACTGTCTGGTGTAGGTGAGTGAGCTCTCGCACCGTGCTGACGGCGTGCTGCAGCGATGACGTCAGAGACTTGCTCATCAGGTGCACCGGCTCGTCTGTCGTGTTAAACATTCAGTATTACGAAGGATTACTTAACTCCCGACTGTGACAGCTTTAAAAATCTAGATTTAATTCGAATGAAATTTAAGCTTGGTATAATTGGCTGTTGGTGGAATAAAATATCAGAAGAATCATGCCTGAATTAAGCTGTGTCAATAAATGTAAAATTTGAAATGAAATTTAAAATTTTTTAAGTATACGGTTTTATATACTACTCTACTGGCAAGGGATGGAGCAAGAAGCTGTGTCTTCACATTTATTCTGAGTAAAAAATAAGTGGTAGGTAAGCTTGTCTGATGGTTAACATCAAAGTGTAGTCGAACTGCCATCCTACTATCTGTAGCGTAGCAGATACAGATTTTCTGACGACTAACTATTGCAGATACTATAGAATTTAACAGAACAGTCTTTATTATGTAGCGTTTAGAGCTATATTCGTAGTCAAATCCTTATTAACAAACAGCTTTTCAGAGATTTGGTCCCTATTTTTTCAATGCATGCCTTTTAATTAATTAATAGGTAATTAAGAATTTTCGTTGAGTTGTCGGCGTCTTCAGAAATACATTTTCAATAGTCTGGAAGAATACGATACTTGAAGAGAGTAGCCCCCTCTGGTTAGGATAAGGCAATGTTGTTTATCAAAGTGTGTTACAGAGCCATTGCTCAAATACATAAATATACAAGCACAAGTAAAGCAAAGGTGTACTACGGCGGATTGAAATAAAAATGCGATATTATACTGCAAACGTATATTTATATATAAGTACAATGGCCATGCTAGCGACAAATACAACGGTACAAGGGGCGACACGTCAAACGAAACACTTTCAATATTTCAATAACCCTTTAAAACATAAAAAAGTGCATTTAAATGTTTCGCTTAATATGTCGCTTTGGAAACGCAACTAGGACGTGACGTTATATCTAATTGATCACATGTGCTAACAATAGCGTAATGACATTGTGTCAATAAAATACTGATTTTATCATTTGATATTCTGTGTAGGATATTGACAAATTATACTTAATATTATTTTTTTTTGCGAACACAACCATGACACAACATAAACAGAATAGATAAAATTCACTAATTAAACTATTGGCTCACTACGTCGGGTAACTAAAAATATAAAGCTTGGTACTCACACACGGTTTTACTCGTTAGGGCAAAAGTTGGTTGGATACTAAAAATAATTGTTTGGGCTTTACATTTCTTTATACAGTTATAGAGAAAATCGTTCCACCTATTCGTTATTTTTAATTATACAAATACAATTTCTAGATTTAAGAAATCACACAAATATTATAAAGGTGAAAGTTTGTGAGTGTGTATGTTTGTTACTTCTTCACGTCCAAACGGCTGAAGTGATTTTAACAAAATTTGGTATGTAGTTAGCCGACACCCTGGATTAACACATAAGCTACGTTTTACTGCGGGAAAACATCTCTAATGAACCGCGGGTAACACCGCGGGGCACAGCTAGTAGGTATATATTTTTTTGTAGAAAATAAATTCATCGTTAAAATTTTCAATCCTTAGACAAAATATATGATACCTATCTTGTTTCAACGCATAGTTGTTATTTAGTGGTGTATGAACAGTTATTAGAAAAAGATTGAACTCAATTTTGTGACGGCTTGTTGGAATTTTGTTTTTGCCTTATGTGTAAAACCAAATTTGAGTACCGACCCTATAATGCTATCACTTCATATGGCTATAGGTATATGGTATTGTTAACTTGACAGAAGCCCTATAGGGACGAAAAAGGGAAACTGACATCGAATTCACATGTAGCACAATAATATACAAATAGCCCTGAGAAATGTCAGCACAAGAGGTTACACAAATATTTGGACAGGTTTATGCAAACTAAATCCAATCACTTACAGAAACTATTTCAAGCAAGTCAAGTCAAGTTCAACAAACGGAATATTAATCTACAATGAACAAAATAATATGTTTCCACTTCCAAAAACTGTGAGTTCGCACAAAATTCACAGTGAAAAACACTGTGTTTAAAACTCAGATATTGTTAAAAAAATATATTTTGACTAATTTTAATTTGCAAAATTATATCCATTTGATACTTTGGTAAAAATAAATTAAAACATTTAACCAATTATCGTCAACATAACAATTAAAACATGACGCACAAGCAGAAAAACTAAAAGGAATAAGTACAAAGCAAAGATAAAAAATATAGGGGCACGTACACACTAGTCAAACGAGCCATTATTTTTATTACATATGCATATATTTAATTTTATTGTTTATTTTCGAATATGCTCATATGTTGTTCTTATTTTGCATCTAAGCACTTTTAAATTATATTGAAACAAAACGGCTATTCGGCTTGTATGTGCGTGCAGTAAATACTATTTTACGATATATTTTGCCCTTTGGCAAATTGAATTTGCTATTCTTTAAGACTGATCACTTACAATGACATCGTCTTTAACTCCGATTTATATTATTTCTATAATAATAAACATAATAATAATAAACATAAAATAGTGATTCTAAATACTTTTACATTAATGCAGGCATAATTTTATTTTAGCCATACTGGCTAAAATAAAATTATATTCAAAAATAAATAGAGGTGTTGTGGTAAAAGTGCCGTAATGTGTATTCTTAACAAGATGCAAAGCAAAAAAAAACGAGCGAGCCATACAGTAGTCGCGTATGATGTGTACCATTTGAAACCTCACCTTATATTAGTAAAAAAAAGAAAAAAAATCTATTACAAAAGGAATACGCCATTTGAAAATTATGTTCTAAAATAAAATCAAATAGCGCGCGGTTTCGCGACTTCCTGTTACACACTTCCGTCCTATTTCACGAAATCACTCCTACAAATTACAGGAAAGCGAGAGGAAAGATGTTACACATTAAAAAAAAACAATATTCGTTAAGTGATTGCGCTCTATGTTTCAGTACATATCAAGTCTAACTCTAAGTGCCACAACGCACGAGCCGTGGTCTGCGGCTGTTGGCGGTTGCGCGGATGTTAATTTGTACGACTCACCCGCGCGGTTATGCGGAAACCAGGGCGTTGTCGCATAGTCTGTTTCAAACGAATTTAGAACAAAAGTAAACAAACAGGTAGGTAAGTCTGACCATAGACAGTTGTGTTGGGGATTCGTAGAGCCTTATCAAAATCAATTACACAATTGAATGATCATATTCTTAGAAATTGTTTTAAAATCTAAAAGGCTTAATTTGTAACATTAATATTTTTTTATCGTCATACTAAAAAACGAGTTCTGCCTGTTAACTGTATTTAGCAATATAGTTAACTATATTTCGTTACTTAATAAAACTCTTTTTGAACGATTGGTTTGCGTGATTTATTAAATATCTAGGTTCGCCGGCTATCGAGCTCGTAGCATTATCCTGTTGAACGTCCTGCATTCAGTTTAGTTACTTCGTTCAACAGTAGTCAACATTTACGTTTATTATACACATGCGAGTAAATTTATTTATTATTATATAAGAAAATTAACCTAAGTAGGTATATAAAACAAATAAATGTTGCATATGTTGGATTACTGATAAAAATGAAATGATTTTTTAGCTCATATCCATTTATTTAAGGGATTCATTGTTCGATTATTAACATCAATCGAAATAATTATGAATAGTCATTTTGGTGCAAGACTGTTCAACCATAGACAACAGACAATTCGCGTCTACTATTCGACTCTTTTTTATTTATGATTTATCATAAATTAATAACGAAATTAGTGCTATATAAGATAGTAAATTAATATATCAAACCCTTTTTGAACTGAAAAATGAAATTAATGTGTTGATAAATCTATTTAGGGATTCATTGCGTGGGAATTGAAAGATAGTGTTTGTTTACCCTTGGTCTAAATTCGTTTGGAACAGACTATATTTATATGCTTATACTAATTAACATCCGCGCGCCATCGGCCGCGGTTCGCGGCTCTTGCGTTCTTCACCTAACGATCGCGTGAAGAGTGTTCAATCACGATACCAAGTAAAAAAATCATGCATAAGTAACCACGTATCTTATTCATTCCACTGAATTTGACTCTGTTAAGTTATCCGAATTCAACTCTAATATAGACTAACGCTTCAACTTCACACGTAATCTAACTAGATATAATTCAGAGTAAAGTTAAGAAATTTGTTTCCTGGTTTTCACGCACATCACTCATTCAATAAAACTAGTTTTAGCGGGTTAATGCACGAACTTAATTTATTTATTGACGTTTCGCAGCCTTTTCAGGTCTGCATCGTCAGAATAATTAGAAAAGGCTGCGAAACGTCAATAAATAAATAAAGTTCGTGCATTAACCCGTTAAAACTAGTTTTATTTAAAGTTAAGAAGTTCAACAGTGAAACTAGAATCAAAGTCATTGGAATAAATAATGTACTAAACTTTCTAAAGAAAAAAATTAAAAAGCGTTTGTGACAGCTGTCAAATATTTTTGACAAAAGTACTTCACTCTCAGACGTGTATATGTTACAAAATTGGTAATCATAAAAAAAGGTTAAACAAAGTAAATAATATGTCAAACATAAAATAATAACAATGTTTATACATAACAAGCGACATTGGTCCTATTTTGGTATCAGTTCGAAGCGCTTATACCTAACTATGATACATAAACAAAGCAACAAAAAAAATAATAACTTATATAGCAACTTAATCATAAAATAATCTCCCAATAATACCGTTTCAGTAATGTTAATTTCTACAGCAAAATATATACTGTCGCAATCGGACTCGGAGACATCAAGTAACTTATAAGTTTGATTAAAGGTGATGCTATCACCTTCTTGTGATAGAAAAGTTACGTTACTTAATGTAGCATTAAATTTAAGTGGCATCTCTCTGTGCGGTCGACACAGTATCACTCAATATATAAAACATGAAGCAGTCGATGTATCATTAACTAAAAAAGAAGAAAAGGACGTTGCAGCACGACCTTTGCTTAGTCCACATATAAGCACCATTTAGCC